AGGTGGTGAAAATAAATACAGAGGTGCATAGGTGGGGTGGTTTTCACCGAGACAGAATTCACTTTGATGGGCGGCTAGGTCATGAGGTGGGTTGGCGACTTGCAGGACGCGCAGTAGCTTTTTTGGAGGCAAGCGAGCCCTTCGGGGTGCAGGATAGCTAGTAACGAGGAAAACAACCAGGGAGACTCTTCGACAGGTGGTATGGACAGATACGATTGCAAAGTGGCACCAATATCTAAGATAGGTAGACTTCGGGGCATAAATACACGTAGCCACGAGCGCGGAGCCAATTCAGACATAGGGTATATTAACATGCAGGGTGGTAGGAACAGGCTGAAGTGGGAAGAGATAGAAGAACAGCTAAGGGAAGAGAGGTCGATAGTATACGTTTTTGTAGAAACACATCTCAGGGACATGGAACAACCTCCGAACAATCCGGACTACGTGTGGGATATTGTAATAGAACAGAAGGCAGCAGAAAGGGGGGTCGTATTGGGGCATTCATTCATAAAAGTACAGACTGGCAAAGGGTCAAGCAGGAGTGCGAAAATCAGCAGCAGGAAGTTAAGAGAGCCATAGCAAAACGTCAGGAAAACTCTAGGGAACACAGACATGCTAAGCAGCGGGGTGAAGTGACAGATGATGTTGAAAGAAAATGGGAAACCTTTCTAAGCTGTAGAAGGGATGCATCCCTTCTGATCAATGAAAAGATTAGAAGAAAGGGAGCTCAGTACGTGGCTGGCAGAAGTACATAAAAAAGATAGAAAGGCAGCTGCGAAATTTTGAAACCATCTAAACTCTCCAAGAAATCAGACGAGCCTAGAGCAGAGTTTTATAACTACAGCCCAAGGTGCTAGGCTAGAAGGGGACGAAGGTATTGAATATATAAGAACAAGGGTGACAGGAAAATTTCAACAAAGAAGTACTTTATGCACCACAATAGACAAGGACGAATCAAGGTGTGCAATGGCTCCATTTTCACAACGAGAGTGGGAAAGGGCTGAGAAAAGGGTTCCTAGTAGTACATCAACAGGCCCAGCTGGCATTCCAATTAAGCTGATAAAGAAATTCGGTCCGAAGTCTAAGCAGGTTTTGAGAGAGGCAGTGAGCAAAATAATAAGCGATGGTAAAGTTCCCGATGAACGGAAACTTAGCAGGATGAGTATGATCTATAAAGGAAAGGGGGACAAAGCTGACATAAACAACTACCGTCCTATAACACTCATTTGTTTCGTGTACTTGTGGACGGGAGCAAAGGTCACAGAGTAAAACCAGGCAATGGTAGAATGTATATCAAAGGACATTCAGGAGTTAAGAAGAGAGTGCGAGATAATTATACTAGGAGACATGAATGCGCACATAGAAGATATAGATGGGTATACCAACCCGACAGGCAAAATGATCATGGATATGTGTGAAAGGCTTGATTTGATCATTTGCAACAATACCGAGAAGTGTGAAAGGCAAATAACATGGGAGGTAGGAAGGCTTCAATCGACGATAGATTATGCACTGATGTCACATAGGATGTATGATAAGCTCAGGGGAACGCACATAGATGAAGGTGGCTCTAGAAGTCTAGGTAGTGATTACAAACGTATCAAGCTAAGTTTTGAAAGAGCAGTGAAAGTGGGAAGAAGACAAGATGAGCAACTACAGGAAAATTTTTATCCGGAAAGGCAAATTGAAATAGCCACTAAACAAATTGAGAAAGTAATTACGGAGGATAATAAGACAATGTGGACATACACGAATCTAAATAGACTCTTTGAGCTAGAACTTGCCAAGACGCGTGACAAGTCACCCCGGAAAAGAAGACACAAACCCAAAAGTTGGTGAGATGAGGAAGTTAAGAGAGCCATAGCAAAACGTCAGGAAACCTCTAGGGAACACAGACATGCTAAGCAGCGGGGTGAACTGACAGATGATGTTGAAAGAAAATGGGAAACCTTTCTCAGCTGTAGAAGGGATGCATCCGTTCTGATCAATGAAAAGATTAGAAGAAAGGGAGCTCAGTACGTGGCTGGCAGAAGTACATAAAAAAGATAGAAAGGCAGCTGCGAAATTTTGAAACCATCTAAACTCTCCAAGAAATCAGACGAGCCTAGAGCAGAGTTTTATAACTACAGCCCAAGGTGATAGGCTAGAAGGGGACGAAGGTATTGAATATATAAGAACAAGGGTGACAGGAAAATTTCAACAAAGAAGTACTTTATGCACCACAATAGACAAGGACGAATCAAGGGGTGCAATGGCTCCATTTTCACAACGAGAGTGGGAAAAGGCTGAGAAAAGGGTTCCTAGTAGTACATCAACAGGCCCAGCTGGCATTCCAATTAAGCTGATAAAGAAATTCGGTCCGAAGTCTAAGCAGGTTTTGAGAGAGGCAGTGAGCAAAATAATAAGCGATCGTAAAGTTCCCGATGAATGGAAACTTAGCAGGATGAGTATGATCTATAAAGCAAAGGGGGACAAAGCTGACATAAACAACTACCGTCCTATAACAGTGACATCAGCGTTCTACAGGCTGGCGATGCAGATTATAAAGGAAAGACTGCAGGCATAGATAGAGGATGAGGGGGTGCTGGGGGAACTGCAGAATGGGTTTCGGAAACACAGGAGGTTGGAAGACAATCTGTTCTCACTGGCCCAGTGCATCGAAATAGCAGAAGAGGAACACAGGCCCCTGTGGCTAGCATTTTTGGATATCAAGGGAGCGTACGATAGCGTGGTTCAAGAGGAATTGTGGGGAATACTGGACACACTAGGCGCAGAACATGTGGTCACTAATCTTTTAAAGGATATCTATAAAGGTAACAAGGTAGTTATAAAGTGGGAAACAGGTATCCAAGCCTGCAGAGGTAAAACGGGGGCTTAGGCAGGGGTGCCCCCTGTCACCCTTATTATTCATGATGTACCTACAAGGATTAGAGGCAAAATAAGAGGGAAGTGGGCTGGGCTTCAACCTCTGTTTAGTCAAACAAGGAAAACTTATTGATCAGGCACTACCAGCATTAATGTACACAGATCATATAGTGCTGATGGCCAACAACAAGGATGATTCGCAGAGATTGATGGACATCTGCGGTAATGAGAAAGATAGGTTAGATTTTAGATTCAGTAAGGAAAAATCAGCAGTCATGATCTTCAATGACAACGAAGGTAGTGAACTTAGAATACAGGAGGTCACGCTGGAGATAACAGATAAATACAAATATCTGGGCGTATGGATAAGCAATGGTTCCGAGTACCTGAGGGAACACGAAGTATACGTGACGACTAAAGGTAACAGGAATGCAGCAATGATGAAAAATAGGGCACTGTGGAATTACAATAGGTATGATGTTGTGAGAGGAATATGGAAAGGGGTCATGCTTCCTGGGCTGACGTTCGGCAGTGTGGTCTTGTGCATGAGATCAGAAGTTCAAGCAAGATTAGAAATTAAGCAACGTGGAATAGGTAGGCTTGCTTTAGGAGCTCACGGGAATACACCAAATCAGGGAGTACAAGGTGATATGGGATGGACATCATTTGAGGGCAGGGAAGCTAGCAGCCAGATAAAATTTGAGAAGCGATTGAGAGAAATGGGGGAGGAGCGTTGGGCTAGGAAGGTTTTCAGCTACTTGTACATGAAGAATGTCGATACAAAATGAAGGAAGCGAACCAGGAAATCGACTGGTAAATACTTAGAAAACAGCAGGTGGCCAAACCAAAAAGAACTATCGGTTAAGTAGAAAGTGAAGGAAACAGAGACTGACATGTGGAGAATGGGCATGATTAAGAAGTCCGCACTAGAGATCTATCGAACTTTCAAGCAGGAAATTGCCAAGGAAACGATCTATGATAATACTCGGGGTAGTTCTCTACTGTTTGAGGCCAGGACGGGAGTACTGCGAACCATGACATATCGGATCAAATACGAAGGGGTAGACACAGTATGCAGTGCGTGTTGAGAGGAAGAAGAAACTGCCGAACACTTGATAATGTTCTGTAAAGGGCTTCACACTATAGTTCAGGATGAAGGCGCAGAGTTTTTCAAAGCACTGGGGTTTAGGGACCGAGAGGGCAAAATAGACTTTAATCGGGTAGACTTAACTAGAAAGAGGTTATCTGATTGGTGGCTAAAGTCAGGGCACGAGTGAAAATTAAACTCTTCACTTCAAAGTACGAATCCTCAAACTCACTCATTAAAGAAAAATAAATAAATCTAGTTTTTGGTTCATTAAGTATTACGGCTTGGTGGCGCTAGCCACCGCCCGATCTAAAAGGTACAGCCATATCCATCCACCCATTCATCCATCCATCCATCCTCGCTTTCAAGTTTTGCAGTGTGTGTGGAGAGAAGAAACCGCCGAACACTTGATAATGTTCTGTAAAGGGCTTCACCCTATTGTTCAGGATGATGGCGCAGATTTTTTCAAAGCACTGGTGTTTAGGCACAGGGAGGGCAAAATAGACGTTAAGCGGGTAGAATTAACTAGAAGGAGGGTATCTGATTGGTGGCTAAAGTCAAGGCACGAGTGAAGTTTAAACCCTCCATAGCAAAGTACGTATCCCCAACCTCACTAAATAGAGGAAAAAAATAAATATAGTTTTTGGTTCATTAAGTATCACGGCTTATTGGCGCTAGCCACCGCCGAATCTAAAGGGTACAGCCTTATCCATCTATCCATTCATCGGCGGAGGTTAGGCAGAGGGATGGCTCCAGGAACGTCGCACGTTTGTGGTTCTCTGGTCGCACAAGCGGCGGCGCTGGCATCACCATCAATGGAAGAATTTTGGGAGGGACGTTGCAGCTGAGCCGGTTGTGGGCCGGTCAAGTCCTGCAGAGCAACAGAGTTTGAGCCACGTTGTGTGGCTGTGGACATTGTTGCGCCGAAGTTTTGCCGTCAGCTTTGAGCGTTACGCACCACGCAAGATGACAGTATGCTTTACAGTGTATACTGTAACCATGCCGCGACAACGGCAAAACCACTGTTAGGCGCTTGGGTGTCTTACAGGCAACGTGTTCGTGAAGAGTAAGCAGGACCTGCCATTGTTCGGCATCCTGAAGGATGAAAACAGGCCGAAAGAATGCGAGAAGAACCAGCACAGAGCGGACAAGCTTCTGGAAGACACCAACGCAGTTTGCGAACTACACTTGCAACCACCTCTAAGCATATTATCGATGGAAAAAAAGTGCGCACTGCCGGAGAGTGAGCCCACTGCCCCCTTCTAGTACACTGTAGCCGCACGCCCGGTTCCGCTCCGTTTTTCAAGACCGTTCTGGTTTTTAGCCGGTCTGGAGACGGAGGCTGTTCACGGTGGGGCCGCACGAGCGGAATGCATGAGTCGTATGATTGGCCGACGCGATGTTCGTGAAGTGCTGGCAACCTTTCGGCGAAACAGAGGTGTTCGATGGCGACTATCATTAGCAGACGACACAAAACGTACACTTTTGCCCTAGCGGGTTCAATATAAACGAAGTACGTGCACTGTTACGTTCTGTTCTGCAGCGGCATGAGTTGCATGGCTGCGGTCGTGGACGCTAGAAACTCTACAGAGGGGCCTTAACCTGCATGATTGTTGATATTCGCTTAAGCTGCCGTATCTAGCATGCAATCAGCCCATCTGCACAAGGTGCGTTCTGCGTGACATCACCATGCTTGAACATTCCCGCGCTTCAACTCTCTGCCCATGGTGTTCAGCTAAAGCCACTCTGTACCACGTCACGTGGGAGTGTCAGACCATTACAGCCCTACAACCAGTACAAAATCCAACAGTGGAGCGATGGGAGAAGCTGCTGGCCAGCGAGACCCTGGAAGATCAGTTGAGTCTGATCTACTGGGCCCGCAGAGCGGCTGCTGCAAGCGGAGCCCTAGACAAAGCCCCCCCCCCCCCACAAGCCAAGCATCTCCGACTGCTCGGAGCTTCTCCGCAGAAAATTTCATGTAAATAAATAAATAAATACGTTTTCACCACCACCACCTTCAGCTTGTTAAAACACGACGTTCCCGCACACGTTACAAACCAGATTATTCAATTCAAGTGTGCACGCTGACGACGATCAGTCGTCAATAGCGAGGTTACAGCCATGTAGGTCGAGATAGACATACACAAATCTCAATTCCCCCCCCCCCACCCCCCCCTAAACGCTACTACTATAGAGCAGCGCCGCGGGCAACTCTAATGAAGTGCGCAGCACCAGCACGATGTGACAGGGCTACAAACCAGGGCTCGGCAACCTGCTGCGGCCGGGCTTCATTCGCGCGCCCCCGCACGACGTCTGAACTTCCCCCTCCCTCTTATCTTGTGCCATTTTATCTGAAGGCTAAAATAGCAGTTTTGTGCTGAAGTAGAATTTTGCTTGTAAGTTCTAATTGTTTGTGAAATGCAGCTTTGTGACATTTGTGCTAAAAATACCCAGCACTTCTATGCATCGATCTATTCCAGTTTTTTTACATTTTTCTCAATTCGCCAATTTTTTTACTTTACCTGTGCGGCATTGCTCATCCTACCAAACTGGGAATGTGAAGGAAGATAATTACATGTTGTGGAATATTACAACTCATACACAGACCAATGGGCAGGCACACATTTCATATACTTAACATAACGAAAAGTACACAGCGTGAGGCAGCAAAAAGGTATATATTCCTACAATGCACACAGACATGTTTCAATGCTTCCTTACCTAGAAAGATTCACCCCAAATGACACAAGAAAAGACAGCAGTCATATGACAGTGTACAGTGAATATGGAAAGATAGATGAACAACGTAACATCTACATTCTCAAGTGTTTCTCATTTATTTTTCAAGCAGTTGTAGCCTGAATGGTAATGAAAAGCAGTTAGAGTCATCCATGATGCAATCAAGAGCCATACTAGCAACAATTCTTTGACACCAGGGTGAGAGTGTGATGAAAACAGCACTCTGTACTGTTCATGTTTATTACCAACCCACATGTACATAGCTCTTCGCAATGTGCCCATTGTAACAGATGTCGATCGTTGCTATAGTAAATGTGAGCTAGAACACCAAGGGAGATGACGAATTGTCCATTTCATTGATTTTTACACAAGCCAACTATGTAATCAATAAAAGAAGGGAATTCAAAGGGCTTGTTTTTCTGTTTAACTCAACCTTAATGAAAACCAGAAGATAAGTAAGCCGATAAAGATATGGGGATAGTTAACTGTGCTGTTTTAAGTGTATCGTAGCCATTGTGATATAGATGTGCATAACAACAAAGTGGACGAAAGGCAAGTTCCACCGACAAGCACCAAACCTGCAACCTTCAAATGATGCACTTCAGGCTCTACCGTAACTCAAGGTCTATAGCATTGCGCGCATTACCCAAAGGTGGCAGGTTCAAACCCTGTTTGGGGCAAGTTGTCTTTCCATCCACTTAGCTTTACATACATACATATCACAATTATAGATTTACAATGGTACAATTTAGGTCACCTGTACCTTTCCTTAGCTTCACAATTTTCTGGTTTTTATTATCATGTATAAGTGAAACTGGAAATTCTGCAAGAAGAATGCAGCAGCACCCAAATGATTTCATGAAGGGCAATGCAAGCTTGAATGCCACAACGAACCATCACTTAAAGACTAACTGTGTCTGAATAACATAATCTGATGGTCATCTCATCTATCTAAATTATCAAGTCCAGCCACTAATAATGCGTGTGAACGATGACAAATTGAAGTCAACACATTCAACAAATACCTCTTTAATTAGATGATTTTTAGAACTATACAAGTTATTTCAATTGTTTATATTGTTACGGGGTCGTGACAAAACTTGAGAAATGGAACGTGGCAATATTTTGTATCACATTTTCACCAAGCATATAACTACGATGTCATTATGTCTTCCCTTGGTGTTCTTATGCATACGATTGCAACACTATATGTGGTAATTCTATCTTTTGTACAAGTGTACATATTGATGATTGGTATTTTGCTTGTGTAGTTGCCCCAGAAACTACTTCCCCTTCTGCTAGTATAGTTATTTGCTTTTGGTGGTACATATCCCTGTACTGCTCATGTATTGGTTGGTGCAAGCTTTTACCCCATCTTCTGTTTTTAATTACTGCACTTGATTCAGTGAAAAGTAAACAGCAACTGACTTACTAGGTGTCGATAAACAAATTTCGCAACTCCTTATGACACACTGATCGTGAAATTTTGAAATGATATGAGGATTGGCTGAGTCACCAATGAATGTGAGGTGAACATAGTTTACCTTCACATCCATCTATGAATATTCAGTCAAAATAACTTATTCTCTGCGTTTCGAGACTACACGTAAGAGAATGAAAAACAACATTATTGAAATAAAGACTGCTCGTTTAGTATGGAAGGAGTTAGGGCAAGGAAAGAGTTGTGTGGGTTCTTACACTCTCCACAGCTTCTTTATGCTTGAACTTTTTGGGTTGCACTAAAGTATTTACACGGCTTCACATCAGCCACCTGTGGCTGATGTGAAGAATAAAGAAGGCATAAAGAAGGCTGTGGCTAAAGTTAGCTGTTCACCACTTAAACACTGCCCGAAAAAATTCCTCGGTTTCGCCATAGATCGAGCACCAACAGCAAAGCGCTGTTGGCTATTGCAGCTTAACAGTACGTTATGTTGGGCTAGTTGGTACATATTAGGCTGAAATACGTGGCGCAAGGTTGACAAAGAGAAAAAAGACGAGACAGAAAGAGCGCCAACTCTCAACTAAGTTTATTTTCATGAAGCATTCACATTATGATGTAATAACCGATAATTGCAATCATGAAATCTGAAAACCAGCAACAAACAGATATGCCTAATGTAAAGACGTCGAAAAAACCAAACTCACCCAAGCCTGCACAAAAAAAAATACGAGAAAAAACCAGCAAAAAAAAAGAAGCGTCTGTCAGTCCTTTTTTTGCTGGTTTTTCCTCGCATTTTTTTTGTGCAGGCTCCATATTTCTATATTTGAAATAATCAAACATGGAAATGAGAAAAAAATATGTGTAATTTCGTATCCTTTCTGGCAAAAAGTGTGGTTGGAAAAGGGGCGATACCGATTACAAGCATGGTAATAATAGCACAGTACATAACCAATCACCTAAGTAGTTCTGGAATGTGCAGTGACTCAATAATGAAAACCTAGAATAATTTTTTGCTATATCCGACTCTTGACAATTGTACTCATCACTGTAATGTTGGTGTCATGGTAGCTTAGCAGGCAAAGTGTTGTGCTGCTAAGCATGAGAAAATGGGTTTGATAACTGGTGATGGTGGCTGCATTTAAATGGGGGCAGAGAGCAAGAGCACCAGTGTATTATTGTGAGCAGTGTGAGAGAGAACATGAGTAAATAGGAATGGCTGTCGCCGCACTATGCTTCATTATCACATTAAATTCACAAGTAGCTAGTGATACAATCGTCTGCTGTTTTGTATCAGCACTAGCAAGGCGGCAGTGGCAAGGCTTAGGAACTATGATGCTCTTTGCTAAAAACAGAGAACCTAGCGCACGCTAGAAAACAGAAAAACGAGGAATGAAGGGTGGCACGAGGATCTTTGTGCTTTTTCACTGGAATGAATGGCAGCGTTGAGACTCACTGCTTGATCTTTCCAGGTCTATTCGTCTAGAAAACCCATTCATCGACGAACGAAGTCGTCGATTTTACACCATTTAAAGTGTTTCTATCAGCTGCTTTCATAAACCATGCACTTACGTATACCCTGCCATAGTGTTCATAATAGTATTATTTCAGGTTGGTGTTATGGAACACGAGAAGAATACACCACAATATCCCTTTAGAGTATGTAATAAATATACTATGCCTTCTGCGCATAATGTCAAGGATGATATGCATATGCATGCTGCTTTACTAGGCTTAGATTTGTCCGACAAAGGCTTCGATTATACCTTACAAGTTCGGATGCTGCATAATTTGCAATCAGAACCTAATGAAAGTATAAAGGTTCCATGAAACGATCATCTAGATTGGGCTCCTCTATGAATGTGATCATCCGAACACACCTGATCCTGTTCTCAAAATAAGGGTAGTAGCCCAGCTATTGGAGTGAATTGGATTATTACACACGTATAGTAGCTTTCTACCTGAACACAAAGATATGTAAAACATCAAAATTAACTATACAGTCCTCACCAAATGTGTTCATTAGTCATCTTCTCTCAGAATTGCCTGTACTGAAAACCCACACA